GTACAAGGCCCATTTTCAAATGAAGGGAACGAATTTCTTCAACACCAAGAGGCCGCGGGGGTTGCAACCTAGATAGATAGTGGTTTCTGAACCTCGCCGCAAACTTGGCTATCTCAACTCAACCCCATGTTAAAGGTGGGATAGTCCCTTTAACCCTCGCCCATGTAGTTGGTGCAACCCCCCCCCCCCCCCCTGAGGTTTTTCGGAAATAGTGCAAAAACGGCGGCGCGCAGCGCCGCCAAATCTTGGGTACCTTATGGGGCAAACCTTGCGCATCTTTTGATAAAAAAATTGACCGGGTCATGTCAGGTCACGGAGTTATGACGTCACAAAGGGAACAGCCTCCGGCCGGATTTTCACAAACTGAGTGCCAACGCCCGAGGTTTCCTGCCGGTGGTACGGACATCGGTTGATGGATCGTGATGAAACTTCCCATGCATGTTGGGGCAAGTATTGGCTATTATATGGTATAAGAAACCTGACCGGGTCAGGTCAGGTCACGGAGCTATGACGTCACAAGAGGAACAGCGTCCGGTACTATTTTTGAAAAGCGCCCGAACCACTATTTTGCTAATTCTTGTCACCTCAATGGGAATATGCAGCAATATTAGCTTCTATAGGGAGCAAATGGACCTCCCAAATCCAAAAATACAATCAGATTTCAAAAATTTAAATTTTGATTTTTCGAATTTCTGCCGCCGACTGTGACCTTGCCGACTTCCGGCGCTCCCAACCCGCCATTTTTAGAGCTAGGGAAACGAAATGGATACCAAACGATAGAGAATTGATCAAGGAACACGATAGTGAAGGTTTCAAGTCGATATCTCCCACCGTTTTGCCGCAATCGCCGCCGAAAGTTGAAAAAGTCTATTTTTTCCGAAAATTTGACCTTTGACCGGTCAAAAATAGGTCAAATGTTGACCTAGGACCAAAAAATATACCACCAATCGCGAGATCTCGGCGAGAGCAATCCGTTGGTCTTTTCCGCTAAACTCTACGACGCTCCGTTTTCAAACGCCAAGGGGGGGGTCGCACCAACCCCCCCCCCCCTGCATGGGCGAAGGTGGCAGATCGCCGTTTACGGGCGAGGGTTAAAGAAAACTTCCTTTGTGAACAGAGTAAAAACAAGTGTAACTTGTAACTCTTGTCAGCAAACACAGTATCTCCTTGTAGAGCAAAGCTAAACTTTACCGATTACTCTCACTTCCTGAATATCTATCGCCAGTTTAACTGTATCTCGACATTTCAGCAGCAAGTTCCCATCACTACAGGTGGAAAAAAATAAGTCGTTAATTAAGGAATGCTCGCAAACAAGACTAAAGAATTAAAAAAAAATCGTTAAGCATGTAATTCTCTTGTATTTATTCTTCCTCATGACGCTATAAATAACGCATTCTTACGATGAAATCAGAATCTCCATAGTGCATGGACGTCCCAACAAAGGTCAGTAAGAGCAAACTGGGAATTCGGAACATAGATTCCACTCTCCTTCTTGTCGGGACTGACAGCTCTCTGTCAGTCTCCACAGAAATCACAAAAAAAAATAAACATTTTTATATTTCTAGACAAGATGGATATCCTCCGTCCGTGGGCATTACAGGTGCTTATCAAGGGCATAGACCGTAGGATAAAGGAATCAATCGTAACTTGCTTTGAACTTAGATAAACGTTCTCTGCTCCTGCTTACTTGTAAGTAGCTACGAACCAATATCGCCCCCTCTTCTAGAAGCATCTGTAAACAGCAATAAATGGATATACAAAAAAAGTACAAAAAGGTTAAAGGTTGACCCTGAAAATGACCTAGGTCAAATGCAATAAACCTCCCACAGCCTACCATCCTCAGACAAAGTCTCACTGCGACATTACACTTTATGGAATGAGGTGTTAACGGATGCTCTAAGACTGAGTCCAGACGAGAAATGCCGTGCAGTAAAGCTTCAATCGAGCAAAAGGAATGGGAGAAGATGACAGCAAATGGGCGGCACGGAACATTTGGAGTGGCGCGCCTGCCACTGAGCTCTGCCCATTTGTCAAAACTAGGCAGCCACGGGCACAATGACAGGAGACCCGGAGAAGGGTGAACGGAATGAGGACCATTCCGCCTAACCAATAGCCAACTACACTGCTGTTCTTTCCGCCATAATATCAGTCTTTATGAGTGTATGAATGAGTCCCTGGTGACTTGCTTGCGTCTCTCTCTCTCTCTCTCTCTCTCTCTCTCTCTCTCTCTCTCTCTCTCTCTCTCTCTCTCTCTCTCTCTCTCTCTCTCTCTCTCTCTCTCTCTCTCTCTCTCTCTCTCTCTCTCTCTCTCTCTCTCTCTCTCTCTCTCTCTCTCTCTCTCTCTCTCTCTCTATCTCTCTCTCTATCTCACTCTCTATCTCACTCTCTTCTCCCGGTAAGGAGAAAAAGCTCATACGAAAAGCTCATAAAAGGTCATACGAAAAGCTTTTCATCCGAAAAGCTCATATGAAACGTTAATTTAAGTATAAAATCGTAATGAAATTCAAACGGATCAAAGAACACTAAATGACATCAACTCAAACTAAATGCCAGCTACGTCTAAGCGCAGGTGTTAATGGGTGTGCAGTCTCCTGCAATTATAAATGCGCGTCGTATAATGATACTTGTTAATTAAAATCGTCCCCAATTGAGCCACACGACATCAAGCTTCAAGTGAATCCCGTCTACCATCATGCCGCCAACCCGCCGCGCGGACAATTGCGTCCCTATTGCTGAGCAGTACGAAGTAATTACCTCCGTGCTCACTGCTCGTGCTTAGCAATTGGCATGCTGCAGCAACAGTATCCCATGCCAAAGAATACCACCGAAAGTGGATAAGCTTGGGACAGGGGTGTCAGCCTTCCGGGCAGTGGGACAGGTGACATCCTACCTATAAGGGATAGATGACATCCCACCTATGTTGGGCAGACAACACCCCACTGTCCTGCCGTGGGACAGGTCACATGCCCTCAGTGGGTGGGACAGGTGACATCCCACCAATTTGCGACACTGCACATTTAAAACAATCGTCCTGCATCCGCCTGGGGACAGTGGACGCCCCCTCCCCCCCCCCCCCCCTCCTCTGTTCCAGGTGGGCGACTCTCAGCGTCTGCCAGCCGGAGGTTCGCAGCGATAGGAGCAGGACGGGGAAGTCCCCGGCAGACGGGCGCGGTGTCGTGAGACGCCGGCTGGTGTCGCTCCGACGGGAGTGTGCGGCACGTGACACGTCCGCACCCCGCTATCAGCGCGTCACCACCGCGACTGGCCGCCGCTTAGAGAGGGAACTCAGGTGGCAACATGGCGCTGCAGCCTTGCACCAAAGATCAGCAGTGCATAGGGTTAAATTTATGTGAAAAAAGGAGTGCTTATAGAGATTTGGTCTCAAGACATTAGAGCATGAGCAGACAATTTGCAGCTGCTTGCCATACGATGCGCTCTGTAGTGCATGCCGTTTTGACTTTTGTTCTAGGTGTCACTTGTCACCAATCACATTGCTCGTGCTTTCTATGGCAATAAATAATAATCATCTTAAAAAAACTTCAATCGCCTCTCATCCAAATCAACTGAAAGCATAGTTAACAATTCTGGCCAGAGCACACAGAGTGAGTTTTCGACGTCAGGGAGGGTATACGTCTAGGTGCGGCCCCTCCTCTCCATTGCTTAAGCTTTGCAAAAATAGATATCACTCGTGGGAAAGTGCACATAAAAAGATCGTTCACCCTCGAGGGCCGGAAGCGTTTTCACCTTCCCCCCCCCCCCACATCCTGGCGAATATCGGCGATAGCTCCCGAACGCTTAGGGATAAGAAATCGAAGCTTCAGTACCCTTCCCTCTCCCACCCGCCCCTATCAATTTGACGTCTTCTGGAGTAAAAGATTTGGACTTAGCCCCCTTGGTTACGTCAGAGTCGATTTTTATATACCCCTGCGGCCTGCACGGCAAACTTCGGCGTCACAGAAGTGAACATCAAATGGCTGCCAAAAATAGAGGCTTAGAGATAAAGACAAATTATGAGTAGGGCTATGTAGCGTTTGACCTAGAGAAAAATAGAAAAATATTTTAGTGATACAAAGTCAGAGGTCAAGTCAACGACACCGAGCTAGGGTTTTAGTTTTTCGCAAATAACTTCAACAAAAATGGTTCTAAAATTACTTCAGTGGCACCAACGCATTCCTATTGTCAATTTCCGTGTGGAATGATATACCTACATATACCGTTCATTTGGAAAAGGTCAAGTTTTATGTTGATCTCACGTGACCTCGAACGTGCGAATGACCTTTTGCTGACCTTGACACATAAAACTTAAAAGGTCGTATATGGTGGAATTGTAGCCGCTGACCGCGAATCTAGCAACCATTTTGCTCTATGTAAGCATTCATTTAGAGCCTCAGGACAGCAAGATTGCCTTAATTATTACGGCTGACTTGAATCAGTGAAATGGCATCTAGCAAGGATACTCTTCCGTCGCCTTGACCTTAGAGCAGCCGTGTATCGTAAGCTGAACCACAAATAGGGGCCTGGTAAGGTTGAAAACATTTCAAAATATCGCATATTTTAGTATACAGGATATACCAAAAAGTGCAGTTCAAGGTCAATTTTGAGCATGACCTTGACCTTGACTTTGAATGTAGAGCACATCATCGGAATCCTCAGCTTCTCTTCTTTCGTTTCACTGCCATTTTAGCCGGTTTTATGCATTCTGTCGTTCTCTAATTAACACTTATTTTGAATATTACTACACAAAACACATGTGCTGGATTTTGCCTTTGACCCTGACTTCTGACCTTGAAAATAAGCCTGAGGTCAAATTTTTAGGTGCTTTAGAATTTTCTCGTTAACACCTTTCGTTTGGTATGACAGTTAATTGTTTCCGTTTGGTATTCTTGAGAAAAAAATCAATGCCTAGCCTAGCCTCGTGTCTCCTATAGGTACGTACATAAAGCAGTTATACTCGTACATATTCCTCATATTCTGTCCCCGTGGTGGCCGTTTTGAAACTATCTGCAATTAAATATGTTTATTGCCGGCACCCATTTCATTTCAGTTGACAAGCTTTCCATTTTAATCCATTCTGCTTTTATTAAATCGGACATGTTCTGTGTTCAGTTGGCATGCGAATGCTGCAAACATTGCGTTTGCCTCGTAGGACCTCATATTTTAAATTACATTCCTCGCGTTGAAAACATCATTTTTTCACATGTTTTGCCACGACCCTCTGTTAAAAAATGCACTTAATTCTATGAAAGCGCCGACCAATAATCACCGGCAAGCCACAGCGTTTAGCGGTTGACAGTGGTCCTCAACGGATCGCGACCTAATACGCTAGCTGACAATGCAGCGGTTAGAAAGGGTCACAGATCACTATCAGTAGAAGTTGTCATAATACCATCTGACAGCGGTCCCCATTGGGCCGGAATGTGTAATAATAGCCGGCAGTAATCCACAGCGAACTACAGGTCATAGACCCGACCTTAGAGGACCACATGAAACAGTCATGGTCCATCCATGGAACAGCGTACCTCCGGACATTCACAATCGCCAGTAAATACTGCAACAGCATATCATCGTGCCAACCACCATCCGCCACCCCCGCTCCCTCCCGGGCATGTCCCTGGCCCATCGTCATATGCAGCTACCTTAGACCCGTGACACAGCTAGACGCGCAGGTAGCAGATGACGCTGGCGCTGCTGTCGGCGCAGCTGGCCACCTTCCACCCTCCATCGGCCCCCTCCATCAGGACGCACTCGTCGTCCCCGAAGGCAGGCTCGCCCGCGGCCCAGTTGGTGTACGTGACCGGGTCTCCCGAGGGCCACAGGAAGTCTGTGTTGTTGGAGAACCGCCACAGGCCGAGCCATACGCTGTCGGCGCCGCCGGAGAGCTCTTCGAGCTGAAACAAGGGGCGGGGCGTCAGTAGGGGACGGAACAGAGCCGCTGGAGAGCTCCTCGAGCAGAAGCAAAGACGGGGTGTTTGCAGAGGACGGGGCAGTCATGGGACACTCCTCTCGGTGCCATGGAGAAAGCTCATCGAGCTGTAATAGGGATAGGGGGTGTCATCACGGACACTCCTGGCTGGTGTTGGGGTGGTGCGGACGTGTGTCTTTGAAGGGAAAACATGTTTGCATTACCACAAAGGACCCGGCGGCCGGCAGTGCTATGTTACCCTGCTCACCGTCAGCTCATCCCTATAGCTGTAGATCTCGGGCAGCGTGGCGGCCGGCTCGAAGTCGCCGCAGAGCACCAGGGCGTCATCGGCCGTCATCGGCGGGAAGGTCTGTGTCAGCGACAGATGGCAGACGCCGGCGGCCGTTTCCACCCAGCCGGCGCCGCCGGGACACGCCGACAGCGCCGCCCTGGCGGTCAGCAGCAGAAACACGGTACTCAGACGGTGCATGGCTCAGGTCTGAGGAGCGGCGCAGCAGGGTATCCGGTTTTGATGTCTCTCCTTTTCCCACGGGCGGAGTCTGGGCCCAGGGGCGGACTCAGTATTGCATGGCTCCATGAAAGGAAGAGAACGATTGACACTTGTTTCAAGTGGCAGCCAGCCAGAAAGTAATGCGCACACCTATAAATGAGTAGGCTTTTGTTGTAGCCTAATTACGTGTAGATTCGATAGGTAATAATGGGATTTCAGTCCCTTCAACATTTTCTACACACGCCCCTGTCGAGCCCTTATCTCAGGTGCGGCCTCTCCGTGCGAGTCTGAGCAGCCTGAAAACGGCGCTCCGGCCGCTCGGTGCGCCACTCGTCCGCGATGGTCCGTCTGAGCTGCGCAGTTCTGCTGGTGGCCGCCAGGGCGGCGCTGTGCTGCCCCAACGAGAACTGGCTGGCGCTGGAGGACGGCTCGTGTTACCTGCCGCTGCCGCCCTCCATCCGCGACGCCACCGCCAACGACGGCATCGAGATGTGCCAGCAGCTGGAGCCGACGGCCAACTTTCCGCAGATCACCAGCGAGGAGCAGCAGGCCAAAGTAAGGAGATGGAGGCCAGGGCATGAGGTGCGAGAGAGTACGGCAGGAGATGGAGGCCAGGGTATGGAACAGGAGGGTGTGGCAGCCGGCAGGGAGATGAAGGCTAGGGTATAGGGCGTGAGGGTATGGTACGGAACAGGAGGCCAGGGTAAGGCACGGGAGGAAACCTAAGGTCATATGGTAAGGAACAGGAGGCTTTGTTAGAGAGTTGGAGACCATGGTAGTGAATGGGAGGACACGGTAAGGAACGGATGGCTATGGTACGGAACAGGTAGCTGCGCTCGCCATGATCGGGCACGAACTCCCGAGTTGAATTAGATCGGGATCGCTGACTGCACAGCAGCTGGCGTGTTCTGTCCTTGCCGCGTGTAACGGCTCTGGCTGTCCGTGTGACCGTTCGTGTGGCTGATCTGACTGTGCCCACGGCTGACTTAGCTCTCCCTAACGGCAGGTTCTGGAGCTGAACGGCGGCCACGAGATCTGGCTGGGTCTGCGCCGCTCCTCGACCAGCAGTCCGTGGGTGTGGCCGAACGGGGACGCGGACATCTACACCAACTGGGCGCCCGATCAGCCGCGCGACGGCGAGTACAACTGTGTCACCATGGCAACCAACGGCAAGTGGTTCAACAAGTACTGCGGCGACGACAACACCCTCTCGACGGTCATCTGCTACTGCCACGATGAATGAGAATTGAGATGACCCGTCAGCCGCGGATTGGCGCGCGCTGCGCCGAGAGACCGTCAGCTGATGTGGGGTGTCGTTAGCTGATGTAGGTGGGGAGTGGGGACAGTTGATGTGGGTGATGTCTCTTGATGTTATTTTAGCTGGTGGGAGGCGTGCGAATATGACGGCGATGAGGAGGTACCAAAGTAAACGTGACCATGTTCCAGACAGAGAATAGAAGCAGTGGAAGCATGTTTGCATGCTTCGTTAATAAATATGGATAATAACAGATAAATACATAATTGTAGATGCCAATAGATGTGTAGATCCCAAATAATTGTACAAATGGCATTTGCCTTGGACGTTGAGAACTGCAATTGGGTAAACGGACCGGGGCCGGGTGTAAATCATTTTTTTTATAAATTTTAGCTCGAATGTTTGAATGGACGGATTGACAGAGCCGGAGCCCACACGCCAGAGCTTGTTGCGTAGACCCCGACCCCTACCGTCCGATAGCGCAATTCCGGGTAACGGGAGAATTTAGATGCCAAAGTTTAACGTGCCCTTCAAAGCCGGACACGGCCTGTCCCACTCAACTGACTTCAACTGGCTGCGGCTGCTCCAACCAACCGCAGACCATCCCAGTCAGGAGTTTCAAATATCGAGCGCCGGAGCGTCTCGAACCCGGGCTCTCACTACCGGGAGTCCGATGCTCTACCAACTGAGCTACGGGACAGGCACTGAATGAATTCTGACGATAGTTAGGTACTAATTGCGCATTTGGATGCCGAATTTGGTGCGGGACAATATTTTGGACGATATTCGGTTTTTGTAAATATTAGTGACTAAGTAGTGACTTTTTCTCATTAACCACGTTGACTTTTGCTATCTTCTCAAGGCCTGAGAGAATCCAGCTTGCAGCCCCTCCCTCTCCCCACTTCCACAAACACACATCATTCCCGGGCAATGTCACACTCACAACAGCGCGCTATAGCCATCCGTACTTTAATTAGGTTGGGAGCAATTTTTCTGCTCTCGACGAAAAACGGTGTAAGCTAGGAGCGTCAAACTTCAGGTGACTCCTTGAATATGATATTTCATTGACTGTAATCAGGAAAAAAATGTTTTGCAGTCTTGCGCAGAAGTGTCTCCAAGACATTTCATATCCGGAACATATTTCGACAAGCTTCGACGCCTTCCCATGATCTTAACTCTTTTTATTTCTCATTGTGCCCAAACAAGTGCCATGTTTTTACTGTTACATGCATCAGCAATTCGACCAAAACCCTTACCTGATCGTAAACTATAGATTGGCGTTCATGTATAGGACGTTGAGTGAACCTATTCACAAGTTCAGTCATCCATTCCATACCGTTCCATTCGTCGTCGGTACATTTCGCGCTGCTGTGACAGCGGTACTCACCGTTCCCATTACTCCTGTTTGGACACAGTTGCGATGGTCGCTGGCTCCCTGCCGTGGGAGCGCACCTTTCACCTGTCACAGTTGTGTTTGTGTTGTATGAAGCGCAGTGCACCCGACCCGACTGGAGACAAATGGGAACACTCGTGGCTCTCAGAACAGAAAGGGTACGCAAGTACCAATTCCTATATTTATCGTGTGAAGAGGCGTACGGTCATACAATAGATCGATCCATCATTAAACTGAAATGAAGGTACTTATCTAAGCACTTTGTAACGATCATCGATCAATATTGTCATTATATTTCTAAAGTAGACCAAAAACACTTACGCAATACAATGTCTTCAACTGTTACAGGATAATCTAAGAGAGGTGCTGTAACCTCGGAGTTAATTCGGTCATCTATGAACGGGTTAGGTCTCCATATTTCATGCATTTGTCATTGGTGTTTCATAAAGAGCTGCCTTCCGCCAACACTTTATTACCTAGTTCAGGGGAAGGAACAGTCCAATGAGAATTTACCTCTTTTTATTGGATAAAATATTTTTCACAGCGTCAGCGGTAAGCATTTCTATGTACCTATCTCCATTCAGCTATCCTACCAATGCAAACTCATAACACATTTAAAGTAAGTCTTGTCACGCAGCGAAGCTCATGAGCGGTGCCCATTAATATTCGCTGGCGTATCGACACCGCTCAATTGATGGTCGCCGTCCCTCATCAGTGAATGGTGCTCACACTTGTGCGCCGCAGCGCCGCACCGCGGGGCGTCTGGGGCCGCGCTGTCGTCGACCGTAGTCACTCGCCATCACCGTGCACTGGGCGGGACAGGCGCCCCAGGGGAGGGGGGAGGGGCAGGGAGGGCGACTGGAGACCGACGCTCGGCTGACACTTCCCCAGTCCTCCGGCGTCCGTGGGGCTGTCGGGTCGCACCTCTCCACAAGTCCGATGGAGCGGATCGGCAGTCTGCTCTCGGTAGGTCAGCGGTGGTCCGTGGAGCCGTTTGAAGAGGACAGTGGCCCTCCGACGGACCGGCGACCGCTCCGGCTGGCCGCCCTGCACGATCCACCGTACTTCATCGCTAACAGACTGGCCAATGACACCTTCAGCTACAGCGGGTATCTGAAAGATCTGTGGGAGATTATTGCACGCGAGCTGGACCTCCCCTATGAGATCATCCCGCTGTTCGGCGGTGGGTACGGCAGTGTGGACCCGAATGGTACCTGGACCGGCATGGTGGGTGAACTGGCCTATGGACGCGCCGACCTCGCGCTCACGGGTATCATCCACCGGCGCGACCGGGCCACAGTGGTGGATTACATTGACACCGTGGCCGTCTCACAGGACCGACCGACGTTCTACGTGCGCCGGGACGCGGCGGCGGCGCCGCGACTGTCGCTGGCCGTGTTCGACGCCCTGCTGCGGCCGCTGCACGCGCACATCTGGTGGCTCCTGCTCGCCTCACTGCTGGTGACGTCACTCGTTATCCGCGCCACTGTGCGCTTCAACCACGCCGGCAGCGAGACGCGGCGCACGGCACGAGAGATGAGCTGGGCCTGGTGCCTGCTGCTCAGCTTCATGACGCTGGTCAACCAGGGCTGGGCGAGGACGCCCGACTCGCTGGCGGCGAGAGTCGCCACGCTGGCCGGGTGGATCCTGGGCATGCTCGTCTACTACACGTACACGGCCAACCTGATCTCGCATCTGACCGTCACCACTGTGGGCCGGCCCATCAGCAGTCTGAGGGAGTTCATGGAGCAGCCCGGGTGGACGTTCGCCATGGAGCCCGGGTACGGCATCCTCAACACGTGGAAGACGAGCAGTGACCCTTACGAGCGCGCCCTGTACGCCCGCACCGTCACCGGGGAGGGCTTCCTCGAACTTGAAGTCGGCGGGGAGGTGATGCGCCGCACCACGGAGCCCAAGATGATGACCTACATCGACATCGACAGGCTGCTGAAATTCATCGGCTCAGAGGGGTGCCAGATGGTGTCGCTTCTTGCCAACCTTCCACCGAAAACCAACAATTACATGATCATAGCCAAAGGAAGACGGCAGTTGCGGGAAGATATTAATCACCTCATGGAGCACCTGAATCAAGCGGGCATCATTTCCAAACTTCAGAATACCTGGCTCAGCTCGGAAAGAAGCCGATGTGAATATTCTCATACATCTAGATCACTATCCGTTGGGGATCTAATGGCAATACTGATAATTGTTCCCATGGCAGTAGTCTTAGTGGCCGTCATATTTGTGCTTGAGTGGATTTGTTCACGAACGGGATTCGAATATCATCCTCAGATGACGAAAGATATGAAACGTCTATTTGAGCAAAGGATAAGAAGAAAGAATTTCTGGAAGAAAAGAAATCGGAGATGGGTTTCAACCAAAAGAATGCCTGATTAGAAAGCACCTGAACTGCAATGCAATTTTACAACTATGGCTCGCAACATGCGGTCACTCACATGAGTTACAGTGATACTTTCTAAGCGAGGCATTGAGAGAAGAGAGGGAGAGAAAAATAGACGCATAGAGTAGGAAAGCAATTAAATGCATTGGCAGCCAGGCATCGTCCTTTAGATGCGTCGCTAAAGGTAGATAGAAATTAAATCAGTTGGTTAACTGGTTTGCCTATATGTATATATTTGAGCGTAAGGAGCTGCACTGATCTGTCGACTGTTGAGTGATGCATGTCAATTGTCATATGTTCTATACAATATTGTATATTATCTCACTATATCCCTATATCTATTCACTTGCCAGAAAGTACCGATATAAAAAGATAAATCATTGAGCGTGGTAGTAGGCAGAGGAGTGATGGAGCAGTAAAAAACGAGTTGTCATAATCATTGACGAAATAAAGTGTTCGGGGAAAACAGCTTCGTTTTTATAAATAGGTTTAACCCTCGCCCGCACATGGGGGGGGGGGATGGTTGCCACCCCCCAGGTAGTCTTTCTGCTCTGCACTCAACATTTTTATAGCTAGGAGGCTGATTTTTGGTATAGCTGCTCCTCTATCCTTTCTTGATGTTCACTGAAAATTTCAAGTTTCTGTGCTCTTTGGTTTCGGAGATATGACCTTATTTTTCAGGTCATGTCATGACCCAAATGGCCAATTCTCAACATCTTGCGTTGGCTATGGGCCTTGTGAGCTTTTGACACCTTGATTTCGGCCTTTTTTGCCAGTCTTACCTCCCACCTACCATGGAACATGTTGTTCGACGATGTACAGATGTCAAGGTCAGGGTCAAGGTCAACCTAGGTCATCTAAGATAATTGCGTTTTAGGCAAGCGGAATTTATTTTTGTGAATTTTTTTGACTGCATTTTTGGTAAAAGCTTCTCAGATCATGATTTCATGTAATATGGACACATAAGCAATCGGTGCACACATCAGTATACATACAGACACACACAGACATACAAACACATATAATTGACCTTGACCTAACTTGACCTGAAATGACCTCAGCAGCAAAAACCTGGTCGGGTAGTGTGACAAAGAGGTTCTAGCTGGCTTGGCACCAGAAAACGGCATCGTCATCGGTATATGATAAGCAGCGCACTTGATATCCAACGGTGACCCAGAACAGCAACATTTTTTAGTTTGACCTGACCTGGAAGGTCAATGACTGACCTGAGAAGGTAAAACTGGGTATCATTGGATTCGTCTCTTCCCAAAGAATCTTTTTGGTCTTTACCGCTAAGCTCTATCTCCAACAGGAACGAAATGGCGTGGGGGGTTGCAACCCCCCCCCCCCCCCCATGTGCGTTCTAGCCCTCGCCCTGGCAGGGCATTTTTCATAACACGGCCTGGCAGGGGGGGGGGTCGATGCGACCCCCCCCCCCTCGCGATTGGCTCCTATGGCACCTAGAAACACCAAATTTGGTAGGTAGGTGGGCCCCCTGGAGTTCTCGCCCCTGTGCAAATTTGGTTGCTCTAGGTCAATATTTAGGGGGGTTTTGGGGGGTATAAATGTAAAAATTTCGCTAAAAACAGGTCAAAAGTTTTTCGCTTATAACTTTTGATCTAATTAAGATAGAGCAAAAAGAAAAGCACCAGTGAACTCAGCACGTCCAGGCGCGTCGAATGATATACTTTTTAGCTTGCTAAAGTGTACTTAAAGTTTTTCTTAAATTTTAAGTAAACTTAAATTAATAAATTAAGTTAAAGTTAACCAAATTGCATCATATCGCATATCATTCGATTCGGCTGATCACCAGGAACACAATGATACCATTTTCTAAGCTCTAGCGTCATTATGTGCCAAGTTATTAGCAAAAACGTCATTTGACCTCAGTTGACCTCGTTTGACCTGACCCATGGATAAGTACACCAAACAAAGAAGCACCAAGTGACCTGCTGTTAAGTACTGTGGTTTCAAAGCACAAAAGTGATAGAACAAAGCGGATATCTCCAGTATTTTCCGAATTTAGTATTTTCCCATAGGCTTAACATTACGACGTAGTGACCTCTAACTGACCTCAGGTCAGTGACCTCAAAAAACCCGAACTATATGTTATACAACTCGGTGAACTCAGCACATCCTGAAAGTTTGAAGGAAATCAGTGCGAAACTGTGAGTTGGACAGGTGCAAAAAGAAAATTGAAATTTAACCATGACCTTGTACCGGTTTTTCTGACCTGGTGACCTGACCCAAGGTCATCCGGACCTGAAATTTTCAGGTCATATGTAAAAAGGTTGCCCCATAGGCTGTGCCAAATTTGGCGGCGCTGCGCGCCGCCGTTTTTACGCTATCTTTGAAAAACCTTAGGGGGGGTCGCATCGACCCCCCCTGCCAGGGCGAGGGCTAGGATGGGAAAATGGCATGTGTGGGCGAGGGTTAATAGGTAAAATGCTTAAAAGAACTAAATCAAGATTCAACTATGAAATTATCGGTGGCCTATGAACAATATAATCGGTGGCCTCGATGTTGATAAAATAAGGGTTCTCTCGAAAGGTTTTCTAGGGTTTTCAAACACCTTTTGAATTTTTACAATCGGCCTATTCAAAGATAGAAGGAGGGGGCTCCCCCTAGTCAACCGGATAATGGAACATACCCCAGTCGTGAGCGGGCTATCTCGCTGTTGCTTATCGTTATGCTAGCTTGTATGCCTACAGTCGGTTACAGGCTGATCAATAAGACTTTATCAAAGGTACGGGAGATAGGGGGCTCGCGGGGGCTGAGCCTTCGAGCCCCAGCTCGAGACATCCAAACCTACCAACACCCCAATCTACCAAACCCTTTCGAAATGAAAATCAGATCATGAATCCGGGGATGAAACTCATTCGGCCGACGGCGATCCGCGTTGGTGTCGTGCGGTGTGAATAGGCTGTGCCGCTTAGCACCCGGGTCAAGCGGCACAGTCTACCGGTACCAGGCGGCGGCTGCCAGTGCTGAGGCAAAGGTAGCCGTTGGATAGAGTCCCTATCGATCTTATGTAAGCGACTGAACCTCTGTATGCGGCATACGAGCTCATACCCAAGTGCTACGCCGTATCGGAACGTTAGCGATTAGCGACGCTTGCAAAACACATTCCATTAGGATGAATGGTGCTGGTGAATTTCTATGCCGGCTACGGCAGCAGTGCTCCCATGGATAGCCCACTACTGACGGAAGATAAGTGGATTTACTTTCACTTCAGCTTTACCTGTGCCGTTCTCGTGTTTCGGGTCGACCCTGGTAAGTCTCCATCCATTGTTTTCCCGACTGTCTTTGTTCTAACTCATTGTTCTACCTGAATGTCGAGTCTCGAGCCTCTGTTTGATCCATACGTTTGCGTGATCAACGCTACATGTTCACTCTTCCTTTTTACTTTGGCTTTTGTTGGTGTTGTTGGTTTTGTCTCGTCTTTAACCCTCGCCCGCACATGCCATTTTCCCATCCTAGAACGCACATGGGGGGGGGGGTGGTTGCCACCCCCCCCCCCCGCGCCATTTCGTTCCTGTTGGAGATAGAGCTTAGCAGTAAAGACCAAAAAGATTCTTTGGGAAGAGACGAATCCAATGATACCCAGTTTTACCTTCTCAGGTCAGTCATTGACCTTCCAGATCAGGTCAAACTAAAAATGTTGCTGTTTTGGGTCACCGTTGGATATCAAGTGCGCTGCTTATCAAATACCGATGACGATGCTGTTTTCTGGTGCCAAGCCAGCTAGAACCTCTTTGTCACACTATCCGACCAGAATTTTGCTGCTGAGGTCATTTCAGGTCAAGTTAGGTCAAGGTCAATTATATGTGTTTGTATGTCTGTGTTTGTCTGTGTGTATACTGATGTGTGCACCGATTGTTTTTGGGTCCATATCACATGAAATCATGATCTGAGAAGCTTTTACCAAAAATGCAGTCAAAAAACTTCACAAAAAGTAAATTCAGCTTGCCTAAAACGCAATTATCTTAGATGACCTAGGTTGACCTTGACCCTGACCTTGACCCCTGTACGTCGTCGAACAGCATGTTCCATGATAGGTGGGAGGTAAGACTGGCAAAAAAGGCCGAAATCAGGGTGTCAAAAGCTCACAAGGCCCATGGCAAACGCAAGATGTTGAGAATTGGCCATTTGGGTCATGACATGACCTGAAAAACAAGGTCATATCTCCGAAACCAAAAATCACAGAAACTTGAAATTTTCAGTGGACATCAAGAAAGGATAGACGAGCAGCTATACGAAAAATCAGCCATCTAGCTCTAAAAATGTTGAGTGCAGAGCAGAAAGACTGCCTGGGGGGTGGCAACCCCCCCCCCCCCATGTGCGGGCGAGGGTTAATGCAGCAAAGAGGTGAAGTGAATATAAAATGCGCATACACAACTGTTGAGTATGTCATAGAGAAAATGAACCGGAATGGAGCTGAAGTAAATCAACCAACAACGACTGAAGTATTACAACCGGCATCACAAGTCTATCCCGAAGCTAGACATTCCACACATCCTGATCCCACTCACATGAACACAACTACGACCGCTCCCACCAGCAGAACCGAGGCAGCGCGCAGAGCGTCCGGCGCCGCTCCCGTCTGGTCGTGGTGGTGCAGCGTCGTGAGAATGATCCTCTCCTCCCGTGGCACCGCCATCGGCGACAGCTTCCGCATCAGCTTCCGCGCCGCGTCCCGCAGCGTGATGTTGAGCGGCTCGTACTGGAGGCCGCTCTTGAACTGGGAGAACACCAGCTTCACGCACGTCTCGGAGCTGACCAGTCGGTACGTGTAGCGGTGGTTGACGGCCTTGAAGGCGGGCATCTGGCACACCGTGCAGAGCACCTTCATCAGGTGCACCGTCATCGCCTTTCCGTCGTCGGGGTCGGGCGCGATGTCGAGCCGCACCCCGGACACCTGGAGGCCCGAGTAGACGCCCGACCGGACGGCCGCCTCCAGCAGGGAGACCAGTCGACGTCCCAGCACGGAGACGATCACCAGACGGTCGTCGAGCGGCAACGCCACACGCAGATCCTCCTCGTACACCAGTCCCGCCGAGATGCTCGACTGCACCACCCAGCCCTGGAAGATGACCGTGCCGGCGCGCGTCCACGCCAGAATGTCGTTGCCCTTGTACTCGGGCTGGATGGAGGCCTCCAGCATGGCGTCGGCGATCAGGGTGCCGAGCGCACACTCAGAGTCGCGACAGTGCCCCCCGCCCTCCAGCATGTAGAGGGAGCGCGCCACCAGACCGCCGAGCAGCTCGCTCTGGTTGGGTCGCAGGCGCGCCATGACCGCCTCGGCCGCGGCGTCCTTGTCACCTGTCAGCAGGCGCGGGTTGTCGCCGTCCCACTCGCTGATGCCGCCGCCGGGAGCCACCTTGATCCGCAGGTAGCCGGCGTAGTGGAGCATGTTGTGCGAGGCGACTGCCAGCAGCGGCTTGCCGCCACCAGGCCGTTCCAGTGTGGCCGGGTGCGGTCCGTGAACCACCTCTCCGTGTGGAGAGGGACCGTTGTAGAAGAGGTGGCCTGCGTTACCGGTCACCACCAGGTCAATGTCCGTGAGCTCGCTGGCGATGATGGACATCTTGTCGCTAGACACCATCCAGCTGCAGTAGATGAGACCGATGATGAGACGGGCGCCTTGGCTGCGCAGGCGTTTGGCCTCCTCCTGTACCTGGCTCAGTGGTTTGGATTGAATACCCGCCGGCGGTTCGTCAACTATGAGCTCCACAGTGTTCGGCGCTAGGTAGCTGACGATACCGACTTTGACCCTGCCGACGGTGAGCATCATGCTGGCGTTGCACGGCGGCGCGCCGGCACTGGTGTTGACTTGCGGCACGAGGCCACCGGTGCACACGAACGGGACGCCTACGAGCGCTATGTAGCGCCGCAGCGCCTCTAAGCCGCCGAGCAGCTCTGGCCTCCCGAGTGCCATCACGTCGTAGCCGACCAGACTCACCAGGTCGGTGAGCAGCTCCGGAGCGGACGGGTTGTCCAGCAGCGCCGTGTTGAACTGGCCGCCGGCGTCCACCACGAGCACGGCGTCGGCGCGCGCGCGCTCCTCGCGCACCACCTGCACCAGTCGCGGCATGCCGCCGTAACAGTAGGCGCCCGCGCGGCACGCCTTCGGAGAGGCGCCCGACTCGTCAAAGTGGGACTGAGTGTCGCTGGTGTGAATCAGGGTTACCCAGTCGCCGCCGTCCTCCGAGTAGACTTGTGGCAGCAGCGTGACGAGCACACAAACCAACAACAGATGGCGACTTCTGGAGAGCATTGCAACTACAGTCGTAACCAAACGTAGCGTACTGTTTGACTATGTTACGCAACTACTAAACTGAAAAGCTTGAGCCAATGAGTTTCAAGGGGCAACCAAAAGTGCACTGAAATGTGTTTCGTGTTTTGAGAACAAATGCCTCATACGGTTAAAGTAAGACAAAATACGGGCTTGAAGTGCATTTTGCTTGCTTCAGGAGCTCTAAAGACGTCCTCTCCAGTTCCAAGCCTCACATATATTGCAAATATATTGACTTGTGGGAATCACTCGGACACGTACATTTTAAATGTATTTCACGTGCCTTGGTTTAAGTGTTGTCCACATCTAACTATGCAAGGGAAAATGTATGTACCTGCTTGATCATCGAACGTTCCAAATAACAACAACACACAACACGGATCAAGCATTTTCATCTTCATGGAACAATGAAGTGGGGCAAAAATCATTTGCTTGCCTAAAAACGGTTCACCGGGTCACCGCTTTCCAAGCCACGGTAATCCAAATGATTTTCTTTGGCTGCGTGTTAGATTGAGTTTAAACTGGCACCGTCGCTACGGTCAAGGCGACGCGTCGCCTTGACCAAATCGTAACACCTCGATGTGTGCACAGGCATTAGCGTTTTATCCCCCCCCCCCCACCCGTCCCACAGCTCGGTTTCTTTAGGCTATACATATATCGGGTGGCGAAAGGTGGCAAATGCTTACGACAATGCTGAAGTTATTTCGTTGGCTAGAACAGGTGGCAGCTAGGACGTCCTTAAAGGGCATTTCCCCAAGCTGGACAATTTTTTTCATTTTTGACGAAAAACCTGGTAGGCAGGCACTTTTCACTGAAACGTAGAGCATGGGCCCTGGGAGCATAAGTTGTTTCGCAAATCATCGCATTATCATGCTATCAACACACAGAGAAATATTGAGCGATGTCAAGTTCAATATACTCGTAAATAGTTCAATTAGCTTCCAAGTTCTGCTTCACTTAGTAAAATATCTTTAGTTTAAGTATTTTCGTGATAAATAAGCAAGGTATCCGTCGCACAACGCCATAATAAGTAAAGGCATCAAGAATAAGTTTGTTTTTATACGACGTATATTGGTTATCTAACAAACATCGGCAGTTTTATTACACCACACAAGCATCTTTACGCAAAACAGGATAATGTAACAGCATAACAGATGTTCAAATACCTAACTGATATATTTCCATGCAAAGCAAGTGTATCCATACGTGAATGAGTGTTGTGTCGCACTGGTAATTGCGGTACACATCCAGAGCACCGTTCGTTTACGTCAATCCAGTGTAAATTTAGCGAAATTTTGAGCTATATGCTGACGGCGGCGGCGCCATTTTCGCAATCTGTCAGTTGTGCGCCGGGGACCGCGGGGGCCGGCGGGGGAGTGTTGACGTGTTGTGGCTGCAGTGCGCAGAGTGGGTTTGCCCATTCTTGTGCGATCAGTGAGATAAAACAGTGCTGTGGTGTTTATCTAGTTCGATGATAAGCTGAGTAATGAGTGACTAAGTGAATAATAAGTGAAATACTGCATTGTGGTCATTGTCCGATAACTGCAATCAAGACCGAGTCTGAAATCTGAAGCGGAGCGACATTGGAGGAGCTGCTGGAAATTATCCAGCTTTGTATTCTTAACAATAAACGACAAACAAACAAACGTGTTTGCAGCATGGGGTAGGCATTGAGCATCACAATGTTTCGTTGCATTTAGCTAGGCTCGCGGCTGGCGACAACGTCCCGCCGCGTGTCGCTTGCGTTACAAATTTTGCGGGCCCAACATTAGCTTTACCAGAAAAATCGTTATAATAACCGTCATATTTGTGTAAATTTACCGTCATGAATTTGTGTACGATTACCACGCGAGTGTTCCTTTTGGTACTTTTTACCAAAAACACATATTTGTGCGTAAATGTAACGCGAGATCCGCGGTAAAGTTACACTGAAAGCGGTTCTCCTACACAATAGTGAAGCACTCCGAAGCTAGCAAAACACACATATAAGTGTTCTTTTACCCAGAAAACAGAGTAATTTTACACCAAAAAAAATGTTCCTTTTGGTACTTTCAATTACACCGTTTTTCCGCTCAATATTTCTGTGTGTGAATAACTGTATTTAATCTCGACAAATATGCATGGTTCCATTCTAAATATACCGTTACCTAGCTATGTTTATTTACTTGATCATTTATTTATGCAGTTATTCATTTTTATCCCGCACCGTAGACAGTGTTTCCAATTGCTCCACGTGTAAAGAGAGAAAATTATCAGCCTGTCGATTAACTGGTTTGTTTAACGTCTAGACCTTGGTATATAGGGCCTTGGTCTAGACGATTAACAAACTGTTAAACGACTAGTAGACATTTCGTCTAGTCTGAAATCTGTCGTATTTTTATATAAAATGTATTTTTAACCTTAAAGCGCCCGAAAGATATCGGTGGTACGGGATGAAATTATTAAACCACTCGTAGGTAGAAAATATTTTAAACGTCTCGCCTATCGGCTCGACGTTTAAAACATTTGTTATACCTCCTCGCGGTTTAATATATATTATATTGTTTATCCATATTTTCATTCGCATATTGAGCATTCGCATATTGAGTTACCGCCGTAGGCCAACAATTACAAAGGGAACATCTGAAATGAAAACGCAATATATTTGGATACTGGTTTTAATAGTAACAGAAGTCGCCTAGACGGGTAACATGAACAAAAACAAAGTCAAATCAATTCAAAAAACGACCATATCTATCGAACAAGTAAAAGCAAATAAAAACATGTAACAAATTTTGAATTATCTGAACTCTCATTCACGTGACCATTTCTCGGTGATATTTCCAGAGTTGAAAACGTTTTGAAAACCGTTCAATGACATATTCAGTTTATGTTCGATCCTTCGTACGGTATTTCAATTCGATGGGAAGCTCGATCGTTTCCGTTCGTTTTCGTCGTTTTTCGTTCGGAATTTCGTAAGCTCAGCTTCTCAAACGTTGTAAGTTGTAATGCTATTATGCTGTGCTAGCAGCGCTAACAGTAGGCATTCATTTATTTATTACTGAATGAAATTTATGGGATTTATATACTGTGACAGCCATGGGCATTGTTAAGATCATCACCTTCATGCAAATTATGCGGATCACGCTGATAAGAAATAATAAAAGAATGCGTGTTACACTATATATTATTAAACCGCAAGTAGGTAGAACAAATCTTTTAAACGTCGAGCCGATATGCGAGACGTTTAACCCGGCACCGCCTGGGCTATTTCCGTACCCACATCAGCCTGGGGGGTCGGATCCGACCCCCCCCCCTGTTATCTCGAGAACCAATGGTCGTATCGAGCCCCGCGAGGCGGCGTTCGAAAGGTCTCTACGAGACCTTCCCAAAGCACTCTTAAGATTTTAAGATTGAGGTCAACTTTCGGGTCAAGGTCAGGTCAAAGGTCAAATTCAGGGGTTTTGCATGATTAGGCTTAAGGACAGCGGAATCGATAGCTGCTGCTCGAAACTCACCACAAATGACCTCAAAGACCTAGTGAAGGTACCATGTGCGTATAGGGGTCATACTAAGTACGGGTCAAGGTCAGGTCAGGCCACGAAAGGTCACGGTTTTCACTTTCTGCTACATGGGCGTGCGACACATGTTTTATGGCTTATTTTTGACGCCAAATCCGATGGTAATGGTTATATGTGACCCCAAGTCACTGTGCTGGTGATAAGTGTGCATTGAAAGCATAAAAAATCGTTTATACCATACATAACTAAACGAGGGCTAAGAAAAAAAGTCAATTTTTCAACTTTTTATTTTTGACATAAAAATGCACTTTTCTAGACCAGCTTTGTCCCAGGAATCTAGTGGTGCCATTTGTTTTCACATGCGATGTTCAGAAGTGCCTCTAATTCGCGAAAATGCTGATGACGTCACCATGCCCTATGCATGTTGGAGCTATTTTTTACAATTTGGGGGTCAAAAATCAAGATAGAAAGTTGAAATTTGGGACATCTAATGTTCTAATAGAGCTCTATAACATATATTCCGGTTTTTTGGAAATTCTCAAAATTTTGGATTTTATTAGCTGTTTTCCAAAAAATATAGTTTTTTGAATTTTTTAGGGGTGAAAAACGCATTTTATGGAAAATCCGAGATAGCCATTTTAAAGAACTCGTTGAGCTGCGTCTTTTCATGTCCTTAATTTGCAATTTGCTTAAAACCTCGATTTTTGGCGATTTTTTAAACATTTACCATTTTTTGACTGAAAACGCCATGTAGTTACATCTTTAAAATCGATATATCTCAGAAATTTTTGAAAAATTTTTCTTAAAAATTGCACAGGAGACGTCAAATTGATGGGGGAGAAGGTATGCGAAGTTTCAAGTTGATAGCGCAAGCGGTTCATGAGTTATTCAAGAAAAACGGAGGGGGGGTCGGATCCGACCCCCCCCCCCAGGCGGTCGCGGGTTAAAAGACTTGTCTACCTACGAGCGGTTTAATAATTTTATCCCGTACCGCCGATATCTCCTGGGCGCTTAAAGGTAAAAATATTATTTTCCTTTTATATAAAAATACGACACATACTAGACTAAATGTCTACTAGACGTGTAACAGTTTGTTAATCGTCTAGACGTTTAACATATCAGTTAAACGACATCGGATAATTTTCTCTCTTTGCACGTGAAGCAATTGTAAATACTGTCTACGGTGCGGAATAGCAGCTTGTGAATCGTCTAGACGTTTAAAAATCAGTTAACCCGCGCCGTGCTGGTGGCCTGAACTTTCCGCCGAGTGCTGGGGGGGGGGGGCGTTTTCACGCCCCCCAGTCTAACTCGGCTCCTGGGCCACGTAGCGACACGCGGTAAGCGGCAATCGAAAGAGCGTCAAAAATAAGGACGAAAACACTTCGGTCATTTTTTGGGTCAGGTCAAAGGTCAGGTCACCAGAGGTCACCAAAGGTAAAATGTTGACTATTTCAACATTTTGGAAACTGCCAACGGCTATCTCGGGAACCGATAGAGCTACAGCGCCGCGGAAAAGCGCATTCGATAGCCCTTTTACAGACCTTTCTGAGTAATGTTCTCAGATTTGACCTCAGGTCAACGGTTTAGCCTCCAGAGGGCAAAAACTCCAAAAATAGCCGTTTTTACGAAAAACGTTTTTTCGTCAATAACTTTTGACTCATAAGCGCCATGACATTACTTTTGCCAGCATCGTGTTCCTCTCGTCGAGACGCGTCGAATGAACTATTTGTTGACCTTGAAAGGTCATTTTGAAAATTTGACCTCACGTCAAGGTCATGACCTGACCGAAAAGGGTCATGTTGCATATCAGTCGATCCGTATCGTCGAGCTGAACACATCTGACGTGTTTTCACCGCTCTAGCACGTCTCTATCAAAAGTTATAGCCAAAAAACTGCTGGCGACCGTTCATGACCTGAGATGACCTCAGGGGCACACAGAGGGGTCACAGGTGCATTTTTCCTATTCAGTGTGTCATGTTTACCTATGAACCGATGTTTGAGAGCGTTTTGAACGATATTCGTCCAAAAGAGGCGCATTTCAATTTTCTCCCATTGACTTATAATGGAGAGGTCGCAAAATTGACCTGACCTTAGGTCACAGATATCAAAAATCCGAGATATACATTTTATACATACTGTTACTCATATCAATCGCTGAAAGTTTCAAAGTGATCGTTCAGTCGGTGTAGCTATAGCGAGCCTTTGAACTTTTTCTGAGGTAAGGTCACTTGACGTGACCTGGTGACCTGACCTTGAACGGCCTAGGTCTGAAATTTTCACAACATGTGCGGAAATGATGTAGGAACACGTGTACCAAAAACGGCGGCGCTGCGCGCCGCCGTTTTTGAGATATTCGCGAAAAACCTGAGGGGGGGCGTAAAAACGCCCCCCCAGCACGGCGCGGGTTAAACGACATCTGATGATTTTCTCTATTTGCACGTGAATCAATTGTAAACACTGTCTACGGTGCGGGATAATAATAGACGTGGTAATAAAAGAGACACGGCCGCAGCCCGATAAGAGACAGCCATTTAATTGCATAATGGCATTGCATCACGCACTCAGCAGGGATCATTCAAAGCACACATTTTACTTCCGATTGTCGACCCTAACCCTTCGCATCTGTGCGGAGAACTAGCATAAATAATCATTTCTGTGGAACTCAAATGGCTCAACTCATTTTAACCGACGGGGCCGCCGTCCGATCCTCACCTCAGAGATGAAGTATGTCGGATTTCTTTATTAGTTTCCCGAAAGTCCCTCGCATCCATGACCTTTGCCCCGCTATAAACCGTTGACTGATCACTCCACTGGAGGCTGGCCCGATACTCGACTGGCGACAGTCAGTGAACTCTGCCCACCGGCGGACTTTGGTCCCCAGACCGAGTGACGTCACCGATCGGACGGCTCGGCGGCGGAGGGCGGGGCGGGATGGGGCCGATGGGGCTCTGAGTCTGTAGTCGTGTGTGAGGCGCAGCCGGGGCTCTCGGCAGGGATTACTGTGCTACCGCTGAGCTGAGAAGCCAACCAGCGCGCTGTATCGGCGCCTGGTACTGCTGCGGTGCTGTCTGTGTGTCTGTGGTGTGCCCGTGCCCCGCGGTGCACCCGATGATGAAGAGGTCCTCCGGTGTGCCGGTGCCTCTGACCATGCTCGGCTACCCCGTGGTGCTCACCTATCGGATACTCACATCGTGCTTTGACTCGGTCATGATGGTAAGTGACGTTTGTTATTTGTCAACACATTGCGTTCAAAAACAGCATGACGCTGCTTGAAAACATCGAAGCTTAATAGAAAGCTTTCCGGTAGAAAGCGACGGCTGGCATAAACTTTCAGTTGGTACCCTCCATTCATTTTTACTCATTTATAAAATACGGCTCTGACCCAAATGACCTTTGCCTGGGACCTTTCCCTCGAGACCACGTTTTTTCTATTCGGTGTACCTACTGGCGTCAGCGCATATCATCCGAGCGTTTCCAGGCTTTTTGTTAATAGAAATGCATAATGCATAATGCATAATGCATATTTGATCAAAACAAATTCAAAGTTGAAAACAAGACGCCTTAAGCTCATAAATACGTTGAAACTTTCAGGAAGTTCTAGAAGATCACGATTTCCCGAGTCGACATTTAGGCGATTGGATTGCCGACTGACGTGGAAGATCGGTCAACCCATGACCTGGAAGTTTAAAATTGGGTATTATCGATTTCTTCTCCTAACTGAAAGCATGCCTTTTTCAAAGCCCTACCTCTATGGGAGGTCAAAAGGTTGGGGATCCCTCCAGAGGCGGATCCAGCTCAGAGGTTTGGGGGGGGGGCAAACCATAAAAATTTATCGATTCTTTCCATGCATCGTCCATAGGCGTAATGTTAAAATCATGCCGTTTGGGGGGGCAAATGCCCATTTTGCCCCCCCCCCCCCTGGATCCGCCACTGGATCCCTCTGCCCTTCCCTTCGTAATCATGCAATAGGCACTTATAATAGATGCTGCAAAAAAGCAAATACCTACGGGCGAAGGTTTTCAGGTTAGGTATCATAGCAACTAAACAATAATTTTTTTGTTTAGCTCGTCTTCTTCTAAGTTCTAAGTGAATATAAAAAAATTGGCAGTGATAGTTTTATTACGAAGCAAGCTAATGGATTTTGACAGCGTTTTTATCTGTCTCATGGAAAAGACAGCGTTTTAGCTGCCTCTGCTATTTTGTATTTCCTGCGCCAGGATCCCTCAGAAATCCCTTGATCACTTTTTTGATGTGTTAGAAAACAATTTTTTTTTACTTTTTTACTTCTTTCCGACATGTGAGACTCAGAGGCTGTTTTCATTACGAACACGTTTCTCATATTTCTTTCTTGAAGCATATTGTCTTTAAAATGTTACTCTGGAGCGTTTCCTAAGCAGTGACTCCCAAGTTGTTGAAAATGTTTTCAAAATATTCAACCATATTGACAAACATTTTTGATAAGGTATAAGCAAAGTGTGTGTGATTAATGCCTACTGATCTGACATCCATTATGATTCAGGCTTTATTCATTTCAAGCTGTAAGACTCCAGCATCAAATGCTGTAAAGCCTAAACTGAAACTATGAATGTGAATGTTAGGTAGGTACCGCTTGTTTTGCTAGCTTTACATGAATATTATTCCTTATCCAGTACGTTTTTCTGATTTAATATGTTTTGTTTTTACTAAATCATCACTTACATAATACATTTCAAGTTTCTTTTCTGGATGATGAAGTTTGCCTTCTTGTTTGTTCGGAAGTTTCCATGTACTCGCTTCCAACAATTTTGGTTTTGCACCATTTCAGACCTACCCTGGCCAGCTGGTGAATCGCTATGTCGGCAACATCAGCTCTGTGCTGGCCAAATGTGTGCTGCTGTGGATGGTCTCCACCATTCTGCTGATCTCGTCAGCAGTGCTCTACTTCACCTTCCACTACAGCATGATGCCGACAATGCTGGTCACACTACCTGTCCACTTTCAGTTCAGGTAATTCAGGGGACTTTGCTTCTCTTGCAATGTTTGCCTGTTCATATTAAGCATTTTCCACTTCATACACTCCATTAAATCAAACACTGCTAAAGGCTAACGTGCTCATTAAAAGCTGAAAACTGTGGCTTGAATATGTATTGCAGGGAATTTTGAACTTTGTGTGAGAACTTACCTTCAGTGACGGACTGCCTATAACGGACACTACAGCCTTGCTGGCCTTGTTGTAACACCCCGGTCACACATTTTTCAGTCCGTGCTATGGCGAGCAGAAGCAGTGTGCCTTCCCTACAGCTGAAGTGTACCTGGTGGACAGCGGTGCCAGCCCGCTGCTGCACCCACACGTGCACTACACCTTCAGCCTGGAAATGGACATGCCAGAGTCGGCAGCTAATAAGGATGCAGGTGGGTGTGAGATAACCCATTCAGTCACCACTAGCTATTGGGATTCCGGGAGGGAGGGAGATGGAGGGACAGAGACGCAAAGAGAGAACAGATGGACAGATCTATGAGGAAGGGCTCAACTCACTCACAACCCTCAGGGTCACTGATGGAGTAGAGGTCAGACCGATCATCACGGACCAAGGGGAGGACACACGATACTGATGGGGTGACGGTGACGAGATGAGGTGGTGACAGTTCGAGCAAACATCCAAGCGCTGCCATTGCTTCCTACCAGGGACCAAGTTCATGGCCCTATGTGCTCGCCATTTATTTTCGGGCTGCAAATGATGCTCTTGTGGTTCATTTATAGCGCTAATATTATGATCGTCTCTGGTCAGGCGCATTCATGCTCAGTTTTGTGTCACGAGTCACGTCTGAAATCAGGCATGTTCACTGTGAAGCTGACCTCGCCGTCTGTCTGCCAGCAGGCATGTTCATGGTGCAGCTGAACCTGACCAGTCTATCGGGGAAACTGGTCGGCTCGTCAGCGCGCGCCAACATTCTGCACTACCGGTCGGGCCTGCACCGGACGCTGCGCACGCTCGTGTTCAGTCCGCTGCTGCTGACGGAGTACGCGCACGAGCAGCAGCGGCTCACCAGTGAGCTGTTCACGTCCTACCTGGTGCAGGAGGTGAGGGAGCAGACGGCACTGGGGGAAACGGGGGCGCCCGGACGGCACTGGGAGACGTGGGGGGGGGGGTACGCTTAGATTACCCGACAGCTGCGTACTGGGTAGGTAGTACAGCGGGTCAGGGACGAGTTTCATAGCTCTGTAATTTATATAAGCCGCTCAAGCTTTTTTCACTTCACATCAATAGCGTTTGTCGTTAGGAGAGTAATTATGTGAGCTACATCAATTTGGACATTTATTTTATCAATACTTACGAAAAGCATGGTACTTGATATAGCGATTGTTGAATTATTCTTGCTAGACTGTTCATTATGAACGATTCGATGTCTTACTCTAACTCAGCCTGGTGAAACCTCTGATAATTGATGTCCCCGAATCACATTGGACGTTGACCCGTAGATAGTATCGTCAAATGTTCTCTATCATTGGTTACGACTTCCGAGTATGCGTTCATTCCCGAGGCGCTCTTTTTAATAAGGAAAATGCCATATCCTCAGCTGGTTATCATGGCTTTTCGTGGAAGCTTCTAAGAATTATGAGTTACCATCGTTTTTCCGTCGCCCATCTTGGCAATCAGTCATTGAATGTCCCTCATGATTGACCTCTCCCGGGTCAGAGTAATCGGTGTCTGGCCTCTCCTGGGGTCAGTGCAGTTAGTCGCTGACCTTTTCCCTCCCCCGTTCCCCGCAGGACGAGCCTCCGACGCGGGCTCGGCTGGAGCTGCGCTCTCTCACGGCGCAGGTGTACTCGGCGCGGCTGCGGGTGCACGCGCGTCTGAGTGGCCTGCGTAGGATCATGTACCACCACCCGCTGGTTTCGGGCGTGCTGGGCACGGCGGCCACCTTCTGCAGTCTGGCGGTCGTCTTCCTACTGGTCTGGCTGCGCAGCGCAGAGCTGCCCGTACAGGTGAGGACGGTCAGAGCGTGGCCCCTCCTGCACCCTTCTGTCCTTCTTTATCCTTCTGTCCCCTTCTCTCCCTCTGCCTGTGCAGGTGATCAAGATACCTCAGACAGAGCAATAGATCGTCCTTCCGGCCTTTCTCATTTCTTTCTCGTCCGCCCGTGCAGGCGTGGACTCCGTGTCACTGAGCATGGCCCGCTCTCTGTAATATGATCCCCGTCCTATATCGGATTCGTACAGCCGGGCTCAGAATCTGGCTCTCCCACTGTCCACCTGCCCGTTGTCTCGTCTCGACCGGCACATATGTGGAATACGGATCGTCTAGCATCAGTATCTGCCTCTGTTCTGATGTAAATGCCCCCATCGCATCACTGATCCTTAGGACGAGCTTAATGAGTACGTACTCGGTACATGCCGATTTTCTAAAAAGACATGCTTAATTGCTTATTATTGCTTAGCTGTCATGCTTTGTTAGCGATATATTGGTTGGTAGCCACTCCATGATTTACTCAGTGTGCAGCCTCACAATTCGACATACCCTGGGTTGAAGATTATCAATGTTTTACTCAGTGTGCACCGTGCAGTCTCACACTGGCAGTGCCGTACCCATTGTATGACGCTATCAGGACCCCGTCTGCTGCCGTCTGTGATTGATAACGCTCCGTGGCCGGCAGCTGCGGAGCCGTCTGAGGCGGATACGGGGCGGCCGGGCGGCGCCACTCGACCCCGCCCCGGCGGCCGCTGTACACGGTGGGTGGTCCGAACTCCGACGTCCTCTGTAGAATAGAATGAATGCGCCCCGGGCGGCCCGTGCTGCACCACTCCGCCCCGTGATAGGGCCGGTGGTTTATTTTATGTCGCATACATGTGTCTGTCATCATCCTTCTGTCTGGTTTTGGGGACGGTAACATCGAATGGGCATTGGACTGGTCGTGCTGATACATCAGTAAACATGACTCACGCATTGAACCTTGCCCTTGAAGTGATCGGCTCGACTCACTGTCTAACCTGCGATAATCGTATCGTGGATTTGTCGATTGGTGTGAGCCGTTTGGCTTGCGACTATTTCTGTACCCGACCGTTACAAATCGGGTATAAGTGGTTGATAATTCAGAGCTTATTTGATTTTCTGACTTCACTTTTTTAGTTAACCTGAAAATGTTTGTATCTCTTCTACAAATCACTCGTAGGAAACTTAGTCTCCTAGATCCGTTACATATAGAGTTCACGCAAAACAAGTGCCGGAAATGGCTGCAGCTGCCATGCTATGAAACTGCTTTATTCTTCTTTTAATGAGGCTACCCATAACGATTAAGGTATGCTAGTTAGGCAAGGCATGTCTAGTTTGCCCTGCTAGAGCCGGCTCGCTGATGAGTGATGATCCAGGTCTTTTTTGTTGTTCGTGGCCACAACTGCGTTTACTAGCCATTCACGGAGAGTTGTGCGTTTTTCGGTCTGACCGTTTGACCTCTCTGCATATCTTTCACAGACGTCTCCAAGCCTGGCCATGCAGAGTCGCCGGCTGGCCACGAGGCCAAAGGCGCCACGGCCGCCGCTCCGGCCGCCGGCAGTGGTGCTGCCACCTCGGAGCCACCTGTGGAAACTCTGGGTTCGGAGAGTGGCCACCAGGCGGCGGGCGGGGAGCGGCACGAGGTGGACGGCGGGGCAGAGGATGAGGCTGCGCTGAGGCGGCGGCCCGCTCACAGCGTGGTGGAGTACTGAGCGCGGCTGAGCTAGGTGAGACGGGCCTCCAGCTGGGCTCCAAATCTGATACTTTGCCTTGATCAGGTCTCAGTTATAGCAGTTGGTGTCGCCAGCTAGGGTAGATGGATTCCAGCGGTTTTATTTTTATGCCGTTCTTTGGCATTATGCAACGTGAGAGCTGTTAGATTTTTGGTGTCTTTAGAATCATATTGGAGGAATGTGATGGACAGTGAGCGAATGGGCGCCCCGAAAGGCTCCCGTACAGCTTTTTCGTGTCTTCGTAGCCGCTCATACTCTTTGTTCTATAAGTGATATTGTCATTGAGATGTGTCAGTTCGTAAATTGTTCGTCTTTAGGCGCAGTGTTTTACTCGATACAAAATCACGTTCAACGATGTTCGCTGACTGGTGCACCCTCCGTCCCCCCCCCCCCCCCCCCAGGTGAACCGTTATGCTGATCAGAAGGTTTCCGGTGTCGCCAGTCACTCATCAGCCGCTCGGAATCACTCAGCACTGAGACGGAGCAGCGACTGAGCCTCCCCGGGCCGTTCTGCCAGGCGTGACGGCCGCTACGGGAAGGGGGCAAGGGTTACCCGGCGTGTCGCTGTGGGTGTATTGGCCGGCAGGGAACCGTTCGCATTGGCCGGGAGGATCCGGTGGTATTACCGATCGAGCTTAGTCTTTTGTTAACTGTATGTGTGAGTTTGCGTGTGCGTGTCTTACTACCTTTCGCCGATGCTACCGGACATTCCAGTGAGCTGGTTGATGTCTGTGGGGAGAACAAGTGACTGCGGTAAATCCACTGAGCATATGGTGAATTGGAGTCCGATCGCTTCTGCAATGGCAGGCAGATTGTGTAATAGCTTACACAATATATGTAGGTACTCGTCGCGTTCCTCAGGCTGTAATCAATGTGATTCAGCAGCCCTCTGGGCCGCGCTGAATGCAATGCAATAATGTTGTTCGTAGTTCGCTTGGAGTGGCATAAATAATTTGTTGATATTTGTATTTGCCATGATCGCAGCTGTGATGAAAGCCAGTTTGAACGGATGAGATTTGTACGCTAATATATGACGACGAATGGAACCCGTTTGTCAGTACATGATGTTGATGCAAACTCGCTCGCTCACCTATCACAGATGGTGCGCCCCGCAGCCATTGCCGGATAATGCATGGGATGAAAGACACCATTCACGTCTTAGGAAAAGAAAGCTGTAGATAGGTAAAGTTGATTTTGGTTAGCCATTTTGATTCAGATGGATGAACTTGATTATATGCATTCGTCATCAAGCACGGCGCATAATATATCGTGACTGGGTATCCCCAGTGACCACGGCGCGAACCCACAGGGTCGCCGACACTCAAGTCGAGAGGGAAACTGAACTCTGGCCTGAAGTTGGGAACTTGGGAGTCTGAGTATAGAGCAGAGTAGAACTTTAGTCCGTGCATAAATAATTATCACATTTAGTACTATGTTTACTGCAATTCTGAGCCAGTCGTGTAGGTTTCCAGAAATGAATTGATTTTTTCCCATTACCTATTTGCTATCTGATTAGCAGCCCTCTACGCAAATACATAATATAGTAGCCGTATTCACGCTGGTATTTCACACGTTGATTACAATTCTGGCGCGGTCATTTTGCGATCTTCCGCGCTTCGCATTTGCGTTGGGCTCTCTCTATCGCCTGGATAAAAATAGGCCCCGCCCATCCCAATCAGCTGCTGTATGACGAGTTGATGACGACAACCACTACTTACCAGCAACCAATCTAGGGATAGCGTACGTGACAGTAATGGTGCAGCGGTTGCAAAAAATCACATTGTTATTCAAACGGTTTTTGCTTTTAGGGCCTTGTTGTTTAACCCATCTCTGTTTGATTGTATTGAGATATGTGATTTTAGTAGATGAGGTGTTGATAAAGGCAGGTATTTTTTAAAATATTTTTTTTGACAACTTTTTGCCCTTGTTCTACGGGCAAAAACCCGGGGAACCCGGGGCCACCTGAAGTCTAAACCTTATTTATATAACATGTCGATGCTGATGCTGTCTTGAAATGTGAAATTTAGACAATGGTAATAGGAATAATGAATAGCAATTTCACCAACAACTTGTTAATCTCTAGTAAGTGCAATTAAAATTAAAATCACTGTCTGCCACACTGCTTCGATCCTGGTCATGCAACCAACGTTCATGGGTGGTGTTTCATGGCAGAGCACTGCAGTGCGCTGCGTGTGTCAGACCATTGGGTTTCCATGGCAGTGTCGACAAACTTCACTGTGACGCTAAGCTATGACAGCATCCCAGAACGTTAGCACGCTGCGGTACCAGCACCAGCAGCATGCTAGCAGTATTTGAACTCAAACCTCTGTTTTTGGTACGGTTTTTCAGAACCTCTCACTCTGTTCCAAACACGATTCATCATAAACTAAGAGATCACATGCAACGTCATTGGAGTGATGCTATGGTATGCCGTAGCTACCAGTGCACACAGTGTCTGGATGGTGAAACAGGGCCATTATTAATCACATTTGTTTGCTTTGTTTCAGCAGAAACCTGTCTGCACATGGGAGGAGTGCAACAAAAGCCCATCAAGTTCATGCATGGCAGTGGATCTCAACAGGAGAAAACCAGAAAGAACATGGATGCTTGTAGATTGCAGTTGTACACTGCTGTTATCACCTGATGTGCGTGGCTGGCATTGCTCCTGGCAAGAACCACCTGCAAGTGATGAGATGGTGCCTCAGTCGTTGAGTGTGCTGCAGTGTGAGAGGCGCCCTGATCTCTACTTTGTGATGGGTTTCCATTGGAGGTTCAACTGAGAAGTGAGAACTGACTGTGACCATGCTTGAGCATGCCAGTGGAGCTTTACATGCTTAGGGCAGCTTTTGAACAGATGCTGATCATGGCATGTCCCATCCAGTTATCACGTGCACAGAATGGTGGGGGGAGGGCAACTCTGGGCTCTTGAGTCAGCCCTACTGCACAGGGGGTACAGATGGCCGCTTACTTTGGTGTGTCCTGCACTGCATTATCAAGCCCAGTCTGCTGCCACAGGCAATGGGTCGGGCTGCACTATATTAAAGGCAGACTATCTTATCTTGCAAAGGAGGCTGGCATCCTCTCCCATAATGACACACCAATTGGCAATCATCGCTGCGATGATCACGAGGGTGTCCGCTTATCTAACATGGTGAGGTGGAGAGCCAGCTCAACCTGGCCTGAGGGATGGTTTTACTTCAGCTGAGGCCCCCTTTCCCCGCCTGCCAGGTCCGGTCAAACGACCGCTTCACAGTGAACGACTTGCAGATGTGGATGCCGTCCCACAGCGCAACGAGCGCGCCGACCAGAGGCGGCGGCCAAGAGGCGGCCGCGCTCTCCCAGTCGACGGTCCCGGTGGACGTCGGCAACGCCCACCGCGCGACCATCAGATCGGCTCGCGACCGCGCCGTCGCCGACTGACCGCATGACTGGTATCTGTTCTTGATGTGGGACCGACTGCCACCGCCGGTCGCGGAAGGGCATCGCTCATCGGCCATCGACGTCCACCAGCTTCGCGTGGGTCACTGTTCGGGCTGCCACCAATATACCGAATCGGATGGAACCCTGTCGGCGAATGCCGGCGGTGCCCCGACATCGACTGCGCGGCGGCCAGTGCATCGCGTGCCGGGAGGAGGCTGGCACCCCCGATCGGTCATTGGTCACAAACCGTGTCCCAGCTCATGACTGCATCCAGCGCAGCTCTGTGAGATGTTCTGCTGCAGTCTGCCGCGTGTGTTGAAAGAAGAATGAACATGAGAAAACCTCAAAACTTTATGCCTATTAGTATTTGACCAGTGTTAGAATAAGTTTGGATTTTGAGAATTTGTGTCCCTGTGCTTGTGCCTGTGTGGAAAGGCATGCTTTACGGTGTACCATCTCAATTTGTGCGGCTGCTGACAGGCCACCTGGGTGCCAACGTATGTGCGAATCCGCGAATACGTTGTATTTCGTCAGTCGGTATCGTTCTGAAAATATTGACTGCAATAGGCTATATAGCGTATGACGGTTCAGCCCAGCAGTAATAACTGACCATTGATTGGGCGAATTTTGTGTGGTGGTTCGCTAATACATAACCTAAAGAGTGTTTTGCCGGAATCGTTTAGTAGCAGAACTGACCGGAATATAAGTAGAATGCAACGGTTTGAATCGTTAATTTGTTGAAACGATTGTTCTCTGAGACCACTGTGTAACTTTTGACCTGAGAATCACCAATTATAACAACGGTGGAAGCAGTAGGCACTGTAGAGTGTAGGCAACACTATATAGTTGGCACACTTACGCAAGCACACGACTTACGCAGTGGACATCTGCGTCATGCATTTTAAGGTTTACTGGGAAGAGTGAGAAATTAGTCAGAATATAACTGACTAAGGAAAATAGGCGATATTTTCAATTGAGCTGGGGCGGAGAGGGGGAGGGGACGTATGGTCAGCTATGCCAATAATTCATTCTCGTTATGCAGCTGTGTAAAAGGGCGTCCGTTTTTTGGGGTGAGACCTTCCCCATTGGCCATTTCCAAGCTAAATCGTGGTGGAGAGTCTGGAGACCTCAGCCTCGGTAGTCGGTACCCTGCGCGCTGCGCCACCTTGCGAAACATAAAGCAGCAGTCCTGACATCTGCAGGCGCTACTTTTCATGAAAACGCGGATGTGTTCGCGCTTATGCGAAGAAAATTCTTCCGAGTATGGTTGATAATGAGATTAATTGTTGTCATTTATTTATCAATTCATTAGCAAAAGTACCCTAATAAATCGGTAAAGTAGCTTAAACTGTATCGTATTTCCTTGGGAAAAAATGACGAACTCATCCTAAGACATCCAGATTATTGGATGCGTTCGTCAGTTGTAAGTAGTTCAAGTTTTTGGAAAAATTTGCTTGTGGAAAATCATAATATTTCAAAGATATGCCTATTTTCGAATGATTTATGCATTTATCTGCATTGAAAACTGATTGTAAAGCAAAAGTGCAAAAGATTATTGTCAATTTATTTTCTCAAATCACGATTTACGAACGCACAAAACTCCAGCTTTTAATTTAGTGCGTGTGCGAATTGCGGTCAAGAAAAAAGAATTTAACTGTCTATATTCCTCTTAAAACAATGAAGGATGAATGAGAAAAACGCTGTTTTGAACAATCGTATATTAATTTTTTCTCAATTAAGCGAAAGTACAAAATTTTCAACTATTATTACATTTGCTCTCACAAAACTCATCACTTTTAAGCATGACGTCATGTCAGCCAAATTTACTAGCGCCATCTCTGGAGAGCATCTTTCGAAACCTCCAGACGATAGAGAGAGCCTTGCGTTGTCGGTTGGTGTTGTAATTTTTCGTTATTAGAGGAGAAAATGAGTAATGATGCAGAGTGCTGTGCTGCATATTCCGATGACTGCAAGCTTTTTGCCTTTTCAAGTCCAGATGGACGTTTGAAAATATGGGATACCGATTCTGGGACGCTGAAACAAGAGTATGTTCCCAGCTCACATTTGTCCGCGGCAGCCACGTGTCTATCATGGCGTGGACAGGTGGGTTCAATTTTGTTTTTCCATTTCACATTTCCAATATTTTTAAGATTGTAAAGTAGGTTGTACTTTCAATTTTCTCGCTGTAATGACCATTCAAAGTACGTAAAGTACAACTGGTTAAAATTGCTCGAAAAGTGAAGTCGGTACTGTCATTGATGATGATGAAGTTTGGATTTTTGTAGTTGAAATTTTTGCTTAATCATTGGAACTAGTATACTTACTTGTAATTTGCAATGGTGTAAATGTCTGAAAATTCTTTAATTTTAAACATTTTTAGGTAGGAGCCTGACCCAAACAGTATGACAAACATCAGCTCTAGCGGCATAATAAGGGTGCCGCTCCCAACTTCAACTCAGTTGAAGTTGGGAGATTAACCTTTACCCTACTGAGTATAACATCTGACACCTACTCTGGTATTTAAGGCTGGGGAGATAATGAAGCATATATCAGTTTCATTTTCCATATTGTATAATAATAATAATAATAATGCCCTTTATTTCGTTCCATCCTTGAAACATATGTG